ACCGCCTTCTCCTCTTCCTCCACAGGGCTTCAACATCAGCCACACGCAGACCCGCCTGCTCTCCATGGCCAAGCCCGTCTACCACGCCATCATGAAACACTCTCCCAAAAAACCCGTCATCGTCTTCGTCCCCTCCCGCAAACAGACACGGCTCACGGCCATCAACATCCTCACCACCTGCGCCTCCGATGTCCAGAGGCAAAGGTAATGCTGCCGTGGACCCTGTCCCTCCTCCGACGGAGGCGAGGGCGAGTTTTTGGGTGTTTTGCTGGGCTGAGGGACAACTGGTGATAGGAAACGGTCCCGTGAGGTGGGCCTGGCAGCGGTTTCTGTACTCCTCCTGTCTCTGGCAGGTTCCTGCACTGCGCCGAAAAGGATCTGGTGCCGTACCTGGACAAGCTGAATGACAACACGCTGAAGGAGACGCTGGTGAATGGGGTGGGCTACCTGCACGAGGGGCTGACCGCTATGGAGCGGCGTGTGGTGGAGCAGCTTTTCAGCTCCGGTGAGTGGCCTGGGATATGGACACACCACTGCTTCCACCCGTCAACCCCTTTCCCCGGAGCTTGGCAGCGCCCCTGGTCTTTGGGCTGGAGATAACGCCTTGCCCAAGCCTCGTGTCACTTCTCTGCATCCTGGGTCCAAAAAAGCTGTGATTTTACGCTTCACCATCTCTCCTGGACCTCCCCGTGTGCCGAGACCCGTCTGCTTGAGCGCAGAACTCCCAGATTTTTCTCCCCCTGGTTTCTGTGACCCAGCTGGGTGCTCTGCCCGCGGGCTGACTGCTCTCCCCGTGCCCTTTCCAGGCGCTGTGCAGGTGATGGTTGCATCCCGCAGCCTCTGCTGGGGTATGAATATCGCCGCTCACCTGGTCATCATCATGGACACGCAGTACTACAACGGCAAGATCCACGCGTGAGTGTTTGACGCTCCTGTGGCTTCCCTCCATGTCCATCCTGCTCGTTCAGGCTGTGCTGAGCATGAGGAAATGAGAAAAAAATCCCAAAGGGCTTCATCCCTGTCTGGGCAGAGGCTGGGAATGGTGGGAAAGCGACAGTGGCTTTCCGTGGAGCTTCGTTAACCCTCTTTCTGCATCCCAGGTACGTGGATTACCCCATCTACGATGTGCTGCAGATGGTGGGCCACGCCAACCGCCCGCTGCAGGACGATGAGGGCCGCTGCGTCATCATGTGCCAGGGATCCAAGAAGGTGGGTGAGGAGCCGGACCACTCTTTCTGGCCTCGGAATGTCTGTCTCCTGCGTGGGATGTGGATTTCTTCTCCCAGCTTTGGGCTGGCTGATGTAGAATCCTCCTGCCTGGGAGGTGCGGCAGGATTTTGGAGGTTCTGGGGTTTATTTACCGCTTCCCTCTCCTGCCCTGCTGTAGGATTTCTTCAAGAAATTCCTCTACGAGCCACTGCCGGTGGAGTCACACTTGGACCACTGTATGCACGATCACTTCAACGCCGAGATTGTCACCAAGACCATCGAAAACAAGCAGGATGCTGTGGATTACCTGACGTGGACATTCCTGTATCGCAGGATGACGCAGAATCCCAACTACTACAACCTGCAAGGTGAGTGGAGGGCTCCACGCCGCTGGGTGCGGGGCTGGAGGACATTGGGAACCCTCTGCCCGTGGGCTCTGCTTCCGCAAGAGCAGCTTGGGGAAATTTCTGAGTTTCTGGACCTTGCCGTCCCTGCAGGTGTGTCCCACAGGCATCTCTCGGATCATCTCTCCGAGCTGGTGGAACAGACCCTGAGCGATCTGGAGCAGTCCAAGTGCATCAGCATTGAGGACGAGATGGACGTGGCTCCTCTGAACCTGGGGATGATTGCCGCCTACTACTACATCAACTACACCACCATCGGTAAGGGCTCTGCCTGCGTTCCCGCTCTCCGTCCCCTCTCTGCGTCGCTCCCTGTGCCGCGGGCGACGTGGAAAATTTATCCTGTGTGTGGCCAGGTGTGTAAAACTCTTTTTTAGGGTGAAGCCACGTGTTGTCTCCCTGATCTCTTGTGCCGCGGGGTTTAATGCCGTCTTTTTTTTTTCTGACGCCTTGACTTCCCCCAGAGCTCTTCAGCATGTCCCTCAACGCCAAAACCAAGGTGCGAGGGCTGATTGAAATAATCTCCAACGCCGCCGAGTACGAGAACATCCCCATCAGGCACCATGAGGACAACTTGCTGCGGCAGGTGAGCGGCGGCGTGTCACATCTGGGGCCAGAGGGGATAGGTGTGGGCTCCTGCGGCGTCGGGGGAAGGACGCTGTGTGTGTTTTCTTCTCCGTGGGGTAAAGCGCTGATGGATTTATCATTTCTCCACGTAGCTGGCCCAAAAAGTTCCCCACAAGCTGACGAACCCCAAATTCAACGATCCCCACGTCAAGACCAACCTCTTGCTGCAGGCTCACCTGTCCCGCATGCAGCTGAGCGCCGAGCTGCAGTCGGACACCGAGGAAATCCTCAGCAAGGTACGACGGGACCCAGCCCGCCTGCCTTGTGTCACTGCCTTGTGTCACCGCCTTCTGACCTGTCCCCATCCCTCGCTTCCAGGCCATCCGGCTGATCCAGGCCTGCGTGGACGTCCTGTCCAGCAACGGGTGGCTCAGCCCTGCGCTGGCCGCCATGGAGCTGGCGCAGATGGTGACGCAGGCGATGTGGTCGAAGGATTCTTACCTCAAGCAGCTGCCTCACTTCACCTCGGAGCACATCAAGCGCTGCACGGACAAGGTAAAGCATGGAGGAAGCGCCGCGGTCCTGCCCTCACCCACCTCGGGGAAGCAACAAGACTGAAAATTTCTTCCTTGCAGGGCGTGGAAAGTGTCTTCGACATCATGGAGATGGAGGACGAAGACCGCAACGCCCTACTGCAGCTCTCGGATGCTCAAATCGCCGACGTCGCTCGGTTCTGTAACCGGTACCCCAACATCGAGCTCTCCTACGAGGTGGTGGAGAAGGAGAGCATCCGCAGGTGAGGCAGGGAGGGGTGCAGTGCGGCCCCCGTGGCGCTGGGTTGGTGCTCGGGGGACGCCCTCACCCTTGGTTTCGGATTTTTCTCCGCAGCGGGGGACCCGTGGTGGTGCTGGTGCAGCTGGAGCGTGAAGAGGAGGTCACCGGGCCCGTCATCGCTCCCCTTTTCCCCCAGGTAGGTGCCAAGTCCGGTGACAATGGGGTGGCAGAAGCTGAGGGGGGGGTTTTCCCTGCTGCCCCCAGCCCCGTTAACTCTTCCCTCTCCGGCAGAAACGCGAGGAGGGTTGGTGGGTGGTGATCGGCGACTCCAAATCCAACAGCCTCATCTCCATCAAACGACTGACGCTGCAGCAGAAAGCCAAGGTGAGCAGGACAGGGGGGACGTGGTTTTGGGGGTGCCGAGTGGGTGCTTGGTGTCCTGGACATCACCCCAACGCCGGGTTTTCCTCGCCGCATAGGTGAAGCTGGATTTTGTGGCTCCGGTGACGGGGACGCACAACTACACGCTGTATTTCATGAGCGATGCCTACATGGGCTGCGACCAGGAGTACAAGTTCAGCGTGGATGTGAAGGAGGCGGAAAGCGACAGCGACTCCGACTAACGCCGGACCAGGCGAGGGTCCCCCCGTAATTCAGTGACCAAACCCCAGCCGCTGTTGCGCTTGTCACCTCCCTTTGTGTGGCTTACGTGTATTTTCCCTGGTTTTTGTTGGTTTTTTTAAGGTGTTGATGCTTTGTACAGTGTTTTTTAGACAGTGCCATGGTTGTGGCAGCTGGAATAAAGCTGGAGACCCACCTTGCCCTCTGCACTGCTGGGTCTGGGGGGGAAAGGGGGAGAAAAATGGGCTCGACCGCCACTGCTTCAACCCCGAGGCTGTCCCCCAACTTGCTGAGGAGCTCAGTGCCTTCACTGGGTGTCTTTCAATTAATTAGCAGAACTAATTAAGGCAGAGTTAGCTGGGCAGCTGTCTCTGGACTGACACCAGCCCACAGGAACAGACCGAAATAGGTTGAGAGAGGTTCTCCTCCCGCTCTACTCTGCCCTGGTGAGACTGCATCTGGAATATTGTGTCCAGTTCTGGGACCCTCAGTTCAAGAGGGACAGAAAACTGCTGGAGAGAGTCCAGCGCAGAGCCACCAAGATGATGAAGGGAATGGGGCATCTCCCTCCTGAGGAAAGGCTGAGG